TCTAGGCTTAATTCAGAATGTTATGCCAAATTTCGTGCAAATCGAAGGATATATAGGGACTTTGGTGCACCATTTACATGAAGTCGGACAAAACTATATATGGGAGCTATATCTAAATCTGGACCGATTTTCTCGAAACTTGGCAGACATCATTCTAGGCTCAATTCAGTACGTTATGCCTAATTTAGTGCAAATCGAAGGATATATAGGGACTTTGGCACACCATTTATATGAAATCGGACGAAACTATATATGGGAGCTATATCTAAATCTGGACCGATTTTCTCGAAACTTGGCGGACATCATTCTAGGCTTAATTCAGTACGTTGTGCCAAATTTCGTGCAAATCGAAAGATATATAGGGACTTTGGGGCACCATTTACATGAAATCGGACGAAACTATATATGGGAGCTATATCTAAATCTGGCCGATTTTCATGAAACTTGGCAGACATCATTCTAGACCTAAATGATAAGGCTGTACCAAATTTCGTGCAAATCGAAAGATATATAGGGACCGTTTACATTAAATCGGTAAAATATATATATGGGAGCTATATCTAAATCTGAACCGATTTTTCCCAATTTCAATAGGGTTCGTCCTTGGGTCGAATAAGTGACCTATGCCAAATTTCATCTAATTCGGATCATAAATGCGACCTGTACTTTGATTACAATTTAACATGGACAGACAGACAGACTGAAGGACGGACGGACGGACATGCATAAATCGACTCAGAAAGTGATTCTATGCATATTCTCAAAAGGAACCATGGGTCTATGTCGATTATTTTTGCCTGTTACAAACATATGCACAAAGACATAATACCCTGTACCACAGTGTAGTGAAGGGTATAAAAAAATCGGCCAGTTGGGGTGAGTTAATAATGCAGTAAATAAAAACAGCGCACGTCGTTCAAGAATGACTGAAGATTGATACTCTTTATAACCTTAACCACACTGTGGTACAGTGTATTATATCTTTGTGCATATGTTTGTAACAGAGAAAAGGAATCGAAATAGATTCATGCGAATATGCTTAGAATCAATTTAGATTTATGATGTCCGTCCGACCGTCCATGCGTCTGTTGATGTTAAATTGTAAACAAATTACAGGTCGCATTTAATAATCCGATTTGGATGAAATTTGCACACAATTTACATATTTGGCCCAAGGACCAACCCTATAGAAGTAGGAGAAAATCGGTTGAGATGTGCTCCCATATATATTTTCTTCCATTTTAGGTAAACGGTGCACCAAAGTCCCTGAAAATCATTCGATTTGGACGAAATTTGGCATAGCGTACTGAATTAAGTCTAGAACGATGTGTGCTAAGTTTCGTGAAAATCGGTTCAGATTTAGATATAGCTCTCATATATAGATTTGCCCGATTTTAGGTAAATCCTTTTGATTTGCACGAATCCTTTTGATTTGCACGAATTTTGGCATAGCGTACTAATTTAAGTCTAGAACTATGTGTACTAAGTTTCGTGAAAATCGGTTTAAAATTGTCATTGCGATATAGAGCCAGAATGCCTCTGATTTAGCTTTGGATTTCAAGGAATAGTAATAAAATAATTATTCGCCACCAGTTATGTCATTACGTAAATTTTTATTAAAATAAGTAAAATAAATTTGGAAAATAGCCGTTCTATTTAATGCTATATTTCAATCAATAATTTACAGATCATGATTCAGTCTGAGTTTTACCTTTTCTTGTGACAAATGCTGATAATACCTTTCTAAAAAATGCATCAAAAGAACGGATGTAATTAAGATTATCCATTTTTAATTTATACCATTCTAGCTACCTAACTGGTTCAATGCTCTCATATTATCCTCCCAATAAAATTGCAGTATATCAGTTAGTCATTTCCTTTGCAAGCAAACAGTATGGTCACATTCTATTTGTATAAATATTTAATGTAAAATTCCCCCCAAATGGAACCAAAACTCTATTGACGTTCTAATTTGTTTGGAAAAGTCAAAGCAAATCAAATTCATGCTAGCCATGACAACACTCCCAAAAGTCGATGATGATGAGGATGCCGACGAGGACGTAGAAGCTGAAGAAGATGTGCAAGGGAATCTAATTAGTGGAGGTAACAATTACATTTTGGCCGTTTGTAGCAACCACAAGTTGATGTGTTAATGTAATGTCCTGTATTTCTGTGTCTGTTTGGATGCTTTGCCCGATTTACTTGACTGTCCATCCATCGGACAGACATATAGATCATCAGTGTATAATGAACCCGTCGTACAAACATATGCTGGTGCTTGTGTAAATATATAGACAAATGTTTGTCTGTATGCTTGGGTATGGCAAATGAAATGGAATACGAAATACCCAATTAACTTCCTTCAATATACATACACGCTCCACAAATTATGCACAGCTCTGCAGTTTACCCAAAATCCAATCGAGTTGACTATAACTTTAAGTAAATACCTGTCAATTTATCATTAACACATTGCAGGCTGGCCGAGGAGACTGGTTGACTGACTCACTGGCTGGCTGGTTGGCAGGCAATTGTCACGGCTAAACTAATCAGGGATGGACGAAGTGAAGGCTATGAAGAATTTAGACATGACATTTGATTTTGTATGTCATTAGAAGTTTTCACATTTGTTCGTTTACTAATGGGGGAGAAAGAGAACATTGCCGTTGCTAAGCGGTGATGGGGTACATATTGTTCCCCAGGGATGTTGTGGAATGCATATTTTTCTGCCTGAAGATTTGGAAAGTCAACTGTCAAAGGTACACAGGTATACCACGTAAGAAATTTACTTTTATCGAATATCACTTGAAAGGATATCTGTTTATCTATGGAACCAAACTCAACTAGTTACAGATTTCTTTCCCAAACGTCTGTGTATTTTCTTCCGGGGATATCGATGATCACACGAATCGTGAGTTAAGGCATATGTGACATGTGTCTTGGTTCAGTTCAACATATCGGACCTTAAACCAATTTCACTACAAATATTTTGAAAATTCAGACTACAAAAATAAACAAATTTTTACTTATACCTGTACACCATAGTGCTAACTGAACCATATGGTTTAAATGCGCTGTTCGCATGATCAACTGACCCACATTTCCGATATGTATGATACGTTATAGCAAGGTCTATAATAAGGTCATCGAAGGAGATATTGCTCGATATCAGCCGATATCGACATCCTCCAAACAAAATCGGATTTACAGAATGATAGGATATCACAGAATAAGATGAGAATCCAAAATAATGCAATAGTCGTGAATACACAAATGGTTGGGAGGTCTGCGTAGAATTAGGTTATTATGTTCAAACTTTACGGCTTCCGACACAAAGAGATGCTCGCCACTAAAGAAATACTATCATCTTGAGAAGACTTAGGTTGTTCGAGGAGTTAATGTCATCAAATAGCCTTTAGCATCCTCTATCCCCCTTAACAAGGTTCCGAAAGATCCACTGTTCCAAAAAGATCCGCCATTTTGCTAATTTTCGACCGATGGCAAAATGCAACGTTACAAGTCTTTAATGAATGCTCATTTGTCAGAAGCTTGTAAATTTTCGATATTTTAAATCGGGAATGATGGTAAGCCAAAGTTGTTGAGTTCATGGTCCATTGAGAAAATGCAACTGCCGTTTAAAAATTTTACAATTCTCAAAAATCTACCAATGGCCGGAGACCCATTTTTCCGAAAGACTCTACATTCAAGGGCTGACTGCCGTAAAAGCACAAATGGTTTGGGGGTTTGTACAAAGGCCGAGAAAATGTGTGAATGTTGAGAGATAATAGACGTGAGAACACAACAGACAACTCTCTATACAAGCTGCATTTGCACAGAATTTGCCACAGAAGATTCGGACGAAAACAGCATAATGATTAAGACCAAGCTAATTTTTGATTTGGTCCGAGGTGGAGTCACATAAACATTATACAAGAATTAAGCTAACCAATCGCACAGCAGAGCTATTTGAGGTTAGTAAGAGAATTTTCGATGTGGAAGATATTCCTAGTATAAAGACCTTACTACAGTTCCCAAGGGAACTCATGGAAAGCAAGCATTGGCAATTATAAGTCAAACTAATTCAAACCACCAAATAGGAATCTACCCTTATTTTAATCAAAACTACAGTCACTTTGTTTGGAAAAAAGAACATAGTACCTAGATACATACATCTATATTGAACATAAAAGAAATTTTTTCCTCACCAGGATCCTGAAATGCTAGCCACTTCGGTTAACAAATGTGTCATGGAAATCTGTCAAAATACAACATACACTACCTTTTCATGGCGTAAAATCAAGGAGAATATATTGAGAATAAGTCTTTTGCCCACCAAGAACCGTAAAAGCCAAATCATTTGAATACTTATATGGATTTGTCAAAATATGGACATATACTGACAATTTTTTATTTAAAAAGATTTATTTGAAATTTTTCAGTACATAAATTCTAGAAGTAGTAGACACGATAAATAATGTCATCTTTATTATTTCAACAGACTGGTGGAAGGACGGATATTGTTTAATAGAACATAGAATTAGCATTTGCTCAAGTCTTCAGTAAATATTTCGAGGATATAAAAGAACAAAAGAAAATATATAATTTTTAAATTACAAGTGTGCAAAGCTATCGACAATGTTTCGAATGATTGAAGTTTCTGCTACTGAAAAACTATTCAAATGTCTTTTGCAGATCTCATGAAAGATCACCATCCTATATATTGAATATCTTAATTTACATCCGACATACTTCCATCTCTGGCATTAAGTATTACATTTCCCAGAAATGACACGATATTATAAAATGCATAAATACCCATTTCAGATGCCGACACACGCACAAACACACAATCACACAATCACACTGTGCATACATACTTCGTAATTTTGCCTCTGTAGACCTGTAGAGGTAAGACCACAATTTGGAACATACTTCTATTTGGTATGTCTTTGGACTTATAAATACTAATAATTTTGAGGTAAATGAGAAGAGAAGCTCACACAGCAATATCAGCAATAATATCATTGGCAACGCAATCATACAATATGAGCGTGTGTGTGTGGGGGCAACCCCCAACAACATTGCTGCACAAATATTTATTATTGTCAGAACATTCCGAAATATCGTTCGAAGCATCAGCCTCCTCATCATCATGATTCGTATGATCATCATGATAATTATCATTGGTCTTGTCGAGCTGTGTGTGTGTTTCGTCATTAATATTATGCCGTGCAGTAGACAACGCCTTTGCTTTAGTTCCCAATTGGTGTGGTATGAACAATGAAATGAACACAGCCGAATACAGTGGCAACAGCAGCAACAGTGGAGGCAGCCAACATATTCAGCATTTGGTGGCTGACTGGCTAGGCAGACAAACAATCACAAAATCTACAAAATAGGGAATTTATAATTTTCTTGTTCGACATTATATTTTCCCCCTTTGGATACATAGATTTTCCTAGGCTGACGAATGATTTTAGGGGAAAATACCAATGTTTGTCGAACACGGGCGGTGTTCATTTTCAATGGATATAGATTGCAGCTATAATTCAAATGATGGAATTATGATGTGATTTTCATTGTTGGAATGCTGTGTGTTTTCGAAAAAAAAAACAACAACAACAAGACCAACGAAAACATTTAGAATTACATTATGACACGTGTTTTGATTTCGCATCTGTTTTATTTCATTCATAAATATGTTATTAATAATGTTTGGCTGTTTGTTTTTCGTTTCCATTATTATTCGAAAATTAATTAAATGCAAAGAATCAAATAGAAAGGTTGCAGGCGAGGGGATCGGGTAACAAACGTAGTAAAAGTTTGCTAATGAGTCTCTAAGAATAAAGTGTAGGAAAACAATACCATTTGAATAGGTTTTTATACATTTTATGTATTTTAATACGGCTTCTGTCAATAGAAGACCTACATATGTATAGAAGGTGTTATTTTGTTATTAAAAATAGTGAAATTTTTTGAGAAAAATTATTCGTTAATAATAAAAAACCATGAAAATCTTCGTTAAATTCGCCCATTACGATTTTTTGTACCCTCTATGATGGATATTCGTAATATCTAAAATCGATCGGTATCATGGTATAAATTTGGGAGGAAACTTTGATGCCAAATGAAAACCTTAAATATGAAACTATAACCAGTTCGTTAAAATGCGTGCCTAGACTTTCCAAAATAGCGAATAATTGGTTTTTATTAACTATCCTAAAATATGGGCCAATATTGAAGAGAGAGTTTTTTCCCAATCAGAATCTAAAATATTAAAAGAAAGCCACCTTTGTTGAGAAACGTATACACATTCCTCAAATATCGCATTTTTGGAGGTACCGTTTTATGGGGGCTATCCTAAGAAGTGAACCAATATGTGTCATTTTCGTTGGGAAGATTTTCTAAATAACAAATTGCAGCCATTTCGCTTGAAAAGCGTACACAAAACCTATAACTATCGTTAATTCATCAGGTAAATAGAATATATCGTCATCATAAATGCAATCGGACGTAACTACAGAAAAATTTTGAAATTGAATTTTTGTTAGATTATTGTTCGTTTAATCAAACTACATGTTCACGCAAAAATTTATCCTACGTCAAAAACGGCGATCTTGTTAGAGACATTTAAACGGACGTAACTACACTCCTGTAGAAAACTAAAACTTGCAATATTGAACATAGACATTCTAAACTTATATTAATGTTACTTCTGGGATGTTTGGTATTGAAAATGATATATATGGCCCAATTTTTTACGGTACCCCCATATAGCGGTACCCCAAAATTCTGTATTTAATTTTTTAATTAATCAGCTAGATGTTAGGTATTTCTCAATACTCGGCATTCTTGACTCCATAATGTACGCTGTGAAAATTTCTATCGCTATCGGAGAAATATTTAATGTCTTTAGTGCAACATTTACATTAAATCGGTCGAAAATGTGTATGGGAGTGATATCTAAAGCTGGACCGATTTCAATAAAACTCAACACACGTCACTCTGGACTCAATTACAAATTTTAGCCTCAGTCAGAAGATATATAGAAATATTAGGAATGTGACCACCAATACTCTTACTGGACAATATCCTTTTCATAATTTTTTCCGAAACAAATTGAACAGTTTGTACCATATTTGCTCGAATTCTATGAGGTCTTTAATCGATTCTGGGCTAATGGCAGCAACATTATAGTTTACGTGATATTAAATCAGAATTTTTTGGGTCAAGCTCTGATTACTTCAGTCATGTTTTTGTTACTTGATTGATACATAGAGTGGATTTATTGTAAGTAAACATTGTCGGGATCAATACCATCTAACTGCGACCATTAAAAACATAAATAATCACACCATTTACCTTAACTGTTGCCATTTTTGAAAAAGTAAAGTCCAATGACTCCACCGGACCATAAACCGCCACAGAGAAGCTTCTCACCCATATGTCTTGGGTTTTCCGATTTTTCGATGGAATTCCGTATAATTTTCATGCATTTACAAGTAGAAACCAGTAAGGAAAGTTCAAAAGTCGGACGGGGCCGACTATATGATACCCTTCACCACGTTGGGTATATTCAACAGATGAATCCTAACAGACTTCGCATTTTTAAAGGACCAGTGAAATGAAATTGGATCCATAAACATGTCATTCTGCAGCCAATACTAAATTTTCCCTTTGGTCAGATATAATTTTCATTTGGTCAGCTATATCTAAATCTGAACCGATTTCATTCAAGATTTCATTCATTACGCTGTGCCAAATTCCATGCAAATCGAAAGATATATAGGGACTTTGGTACACCATTTACATTAAATCGGACGAAAATATATATGGGAGCTATATCTAAATCTGAAACGATTTTCACGAAACATAACACACATCATTCTAGACCTAGTTCAGTACTCTATACCAAATTTCGTACAAATCGAATGATATACAGGGTATTTGGTGGACTATTTACATTAAATCGGACGAAAATATATGAGATCTATATCTAAATCTGGACCGATTTTCAGAAAACTTAACACACATCATTCTAGACCTAATTCATTGTGCTATGCGAAATTTCGTGCAAATTGAAAGATATATGGAGGACTTTGGTACACCATTTTCATTAAAGCGCACGGAAATATATATGTGAGCTATATCTAAATATGAATCGATTTTCACGAAACTTAGCACACATAATTCGGGACCTTATTCAGTACTCCATGCCAAATTTCGTGGAAATCTAAAGATATATAGAGACTTTGGTGCACCATTTTTCCTTAAATCGGACGAAACTATATATGGGAGCTATATCTAAATCTGAACCGATTTTCTCGAAAATTGGCACACATTATTATGGAACTAATTCAGTATCTCGTTTCCTTTTGCCTGTTACAAACATATGCATAAAAGCATATAGAACCTGTACCACAGTGTGGTGAAGGGCATAAACGTCAGTCGACGTTGCCGACAGATGTATTGTCCCAGTCTATGGTTTGCAGAGATCTATGGAATTACTACACACTGGTGTTATTATTCGCTTTATAAAAGGTATATGTTTTTATCAAATAGTTAATAATTTGTGGACAGGATTTTGCCCAAACAAACATTTTTTTCGAAGAGGAACATTTTTACCGTAGTGTATATAACCTTGTTAGCTGTACATTAGGGATATACAAATACCCTATCCTGTTGATAATCGGTCAGGTTGGGTTCTTGTGTTGACTGAACGGTATAAGCTTTATGAAAAGTATTGTATACTGAAATTTGTGGAATGACAAACGAGGAATGGGTAAACTTAGGTTATAGCCCAGACTATAGCAGCAATATTCCGCGTTTTCTTCAGCGACATGAACGTGTGGACAACAAATTTACGCGAACCTTACCTTCAAATTCAAGTAAATGATGCTCGATTGCATAGCATATTAAATAGGGTCTATAATATCGGGATGCTGGTATTCCTTAAATCAATTTAGATTTTGATTGAGTCTAGAATAAATGTGTCTTTAAAACGCTTCGGATTTAGATATAGCTCCTATATATTTTAGACCGATTTAATGAAAATTATAAACCAAAGCTTCCACATTCAAGAAATATCTTCGGTTATGGAGATATTGTTGATCAAAGAGAAACGGTGAATTTCCGTTATAATTCTATTAGCTAAGAATGTGTAGCGCGGTCGCACAGTGGTAATGTAAATAAATGAATTGAATTTAGAAGAATATCATTCAATGTTTAATAAGTGCGTAATTCTCTTTCGTGGGCAATGTTAATATATTTTTTTTGGTTATAAACATAATTTTGAGGAATACGTTCGCAGTAATATCGCTTCGCCACGCTTTTAATTTCATTCCGATATGACCATTTTTACAGAAGTTGCATCATTCCGAAATATCAGCAATATTAAACCAAAGTTGTTAAAATAATTATGCCTACGACTGTACATGCACCCATCGTCATTAGTCGCTTTAAGTCTATTTTACCTTTTCATTCCATAACATCGTTACAAATTAACTTTATTTCACCTTTCGTAAATTGTTCCCTTTCCTCTGTAATTTGATAATACCTACATGGTGTTATTTTGTCATCAAATCAAATTAATTCCCAATTTGAGTTTCATTTTGCGAATTGTTCAATTAAATTCTACAACACGGTGACTTCTCATCTATCCTGCAAACTGATTTGATGTTCTGATGATGTTCTTACAAATTGTTTGAGATATGCTTTTCTCTCGTTTGTTGCTTTCAATAGAAAATAAAATCCACTTTTCCAGTACCTGGTGACTATAGTCAACGTGTTTCGAGGGGGGGTGGATATGATATTACTCTGTCTGATGATAGATGACAACGTTGACATTTTTAATACAAAACGTGCTGAAAAATTTTGTAGAACGAAAATAGCTTTGCCGCGGCAATTTATTTGCTAGGTTTATCATATCAATCGATAGTTGTCTTGCCACCGTAAATACTACCAGAGTATGTTGGCTTGGCAAATGGTGGAAAACTACCGTACAAAATGTTAGTCTATTATTATTATGCAATTGTATGGTGTGCCTGTCCCACCCTCTCAATCTCAATCTAACAGACAAAGAAGTAGCAGCAGTGGAGAATGTAAAGTGTCAGTACTTACC